CCAGCCTGGGCGACAGAGATAGACTGTCTCAAAAAAAAAAAAAAAGCAGAATCTAGGTACATCAGATTAGTTCCTGTCCTGGTGCAATGGGCTTTGCATGAAAGGTTTTGAGTAAACCAGGGGAGTTCTCTGCATTTTATTTTATTCTTTTTTTTTTTTTAAAGACAGAGTCTCACTCTGATGACCAGGCTGGAGTGCAGTGGTGTGATCTTGGCTCACTGCAACCTCCACCTCCTGGGCTCAAGTGATTCCGGGACAACAGGTGTGCCACCATGCCCAGCTAATTTATCTGCATTTTAAATTGTACATTCTGTAGTCACTAGGAGGAGTCCTATGAGACAGCTCTGTCACTGCTGGGCAACCAGACAACTTGAGAGCCTGGGCCTCTGTCAGTCACCAAATTGAACTCGCAAAAGAAATGAGCAATTGAGTGTCTCCAACCGGACCGTGGTATAAAGTTACACAGAGGAGAGTCCAGGAAGGAAGCAGATTGCAAAGAATCCACTTGCTAAAGGAAAAGCCTTTGTATAGTTAAGAGTCGTTTTTCTTTAAGGCATCACTGTGATGATTTTACATCTTCATTTTGCATGAGTACAAGGCTTTTAATATAGGGAATGTTACGATGAAAAATAAGGTGACAAAATAAAAGCTAAAAGCACTCTTGTACCCTGCGCTATCCTTCTAAGAAGCAAAGAGCATCTTGTGTACAGGGCAAGAACTACAGTGACGCAGACGTGTGATCAATATCAAATCGAACAAGTGTGCGGGAGGTTGCAGTGTGTAGTTTAACAGAAAGGCTGATGCTTGAATAAACTGAATTTTCTTCCTTGTAGTTCAATGAAAAGTTTATAGTTTACAAAAAATGAGCCTAGATGCAGAACTTTCCTGCTAAACTAACATTTCATTTTATTTTACTTATTTTTTAGAGACAAGGTCTCATGCTGTCATCCAGGCTGGAGTGCAGTGCCACCGTCACAGCTCACTGCAGCCTTGACCTCTTGGGCTTGCGTGATTCTGCTACCTCAGCCTCATACGTAGTTGTCCTAAACTGTTATTATCGCCTAGTTCTATCACTGAAAACAAAACAAAAATCTTAAGGCTGGGTGCAGTGGCTCAGGCTTGGAATCCCAGCACTCTGGGAGGCTGAGGTGGGAGGATGACTTGAGGCCAGGAATTTGAGACTAGCCTGAACAGCAGAGTGAGACCCTGTCTCTACAAAAAAAAAATAATTTTTTAATTAGCTGGGTGTGGTGGTGCACACTGTGGTCCCAGCTACTTGGGAGGCTAAGGTGGGAGGCTGCTGAAGCCCGGGAGGTGGAGGCACTCTAGTCTGGGCAACAGAGTGAGATCCGGTTCTTTAAAAAAATTGTCTTGGGGCCGGGCGCGGTGGCTCAAGCCTGTAATCCCAGCACTTTGGGAGGCCGAGGCGGGTGGATCACAAGGTCAAGAGATCGAGACCATC